ACACACACACACACACACACACACACACACACACACACACACACACAGAGGCATGTACTTATCGAATTCCTAAAATAACCCTTAATTCACTAGGATCTAGCATACTCTTTTGGTCCAAGGGAATGTTTCCAAGTTAACCAGAGTGGAACCAACCTCAACACTTGGAAGGATAAGACAGGAAGATTGCAAGTTCAAGGCCATCCTGGGCTACATACAGTAAGACCCTGTCTCAAAAATAGAAACAAATAGTAAGATTAAAAGAAAACACCATTCCTGTCTTCTAAGAAAGAAAAAGGCCCTTTAGTGGGGTAAGGGTGGTATGGCGTGTTGAGGCTGCTCCTGGGAATTATGTTCTAATTTGTCTTTACCAATCCATTGCTTTCTTCCATCCAGAAAATGGGTATATCTCTTTCTCTTGAGCACTTCTGAAACCAGCTTATTATCTGTTGTTACACGGTCTCTCCCTGAGATAATCTCCCTACTCAGGGGGGCAACATCCCTGAATGCAGATGACCCCACATCACATCCAACTTACAGAGTGCACAACTCCCTACCCCAGGCCGCCACCAAAGGCCACTGCCAGGACACCTGACCACCCAGCTCCTAACCTGCACGTTATCTTCCTTTTCAGCCTGTATTTCTCGGCCAGCTTCTGGTTACCTTCGAAACACCAGGCCGCGTGCTCAGCTATGCTACCTTTGAGCCTTTTCTCAGAGTCACAGTCATATGCAGGTGCTCACGTCCTGCAGGTTATTTACGCTATAAAATTTCTAACTTGTTTTCTACTTATAACTTATACTATACCTTGCTACAAAACAGATCTGAGGTTTTAAATAAGACAAATACTAAACCATCATGGATAAAAGATCAGAAAGGTAGGCAGGAAAGATGGCTCAGTGGTTAAAGGCATTGGCCGCCAAGAATGATGGCCTGAGTCCAATCCCCAGGATCTACATGGTGGAAGGAAAGAACTGATTCCTGTAGGTTGTCCTCTGACCTCCACATGTGCGTTTCGGAATGTACATGAGCACTTAGGTAGATTAGTAAATGTAATTTTTTACAAAGACCAGAAAGGAAGGAGAGAAGATGAACAAACCTTACTAAGAGGTCTATATTCATAAGGTTCTAAAAACTGTAGCAGCTGTCAAGGTTGTCTACCTCTGACTTTTCATTCAGATACTACTGAAATGAGCTATCCAGAGCCATTCATCTTTTGGGGACTGTCTCTCTTTTTCTAGCTGTTTATACCCAGTAAGTCCCTTCAGTGTAGGCAAACTATCAGCTGGCTGCAGCAGCCACCCTCATGGCTCTGCCTCTTCCATTCTCACCTTCAAATGTGCCCTCGGTGTGTGAGGGCAATCTGTCTGAGGCATCTGACACGCACTGATCGCCAGGGTTGATTCAGCTGATCAGTCTGTCTAAGCAGGTGTCCCTTTCCTCCCTCATGGCTCCATGTGTGTCTCTCTTGAAGCTGCAGCTCAACGGATGAGGATGGCTTTCCCCATATGAAAGAGGATCAGTCTTTGGTCAAGGGAATACTAGCAGCTGTAGAGGAATTTTAATCCAATAACATGGCTGCTCTGGCAAGGGATCATATCTAAATACCTGCTAGGTCTATGTGATCTGGCTGATATGCAGGCTCTGGATTATAGTATGATCTGGCTGGAATACAGACATGCCTTTAGTTCACACCATTAATCCCAAATAATGAAAGCGATGTGTAATTGAGGGGAAGACAAAGGGACAAATCAGAGAAAGATTTCACAGAATGAGTCAGAGACAGGATATGCCCAACTCTCAACGAGAACGGCACAAGAAAGGGTACTAAAGAGCAGTGCAGAGAGAGCGGTGGTAGGAGGAAGAGGAAGAAGAGGAGTGTGGCAGTTTCACTGGGACAGTTTTACAGAGGCAGGTGGCAGAGAGAATAAGCCAGAGAATGAGAGCCAAAATATTAGAACATATTGTCAGAGTTAGTTTGAGGCCAAGCAAAGCAATTCAGTCAGAAGCCGAGAGAGAAGCCAGATTGAATCAGTCAGTTTGGAGAGGAGCTTGGGCCAGAACAACTGGGTTGAACCAGCCAGCAAGTGTTCAGAAAGAGCTAGAGAGGGTAAATTTATTCAGCAGGGAGGTTAAAACATTCTAGGCTTAGGTTAGCAGACAGAGGCTGGAAGCTGAAGCATTCAAGATTCGGGTTTGCAGAAGATTAGACTGTATGGAGGCTAGAAGCTTCCAGGCCTAGGTCGAGAGATAGCTAGAACAGAAAGAAATGCTCTGGGCTCAGGCCAAGCCATGTATTTGTACAGCTTGGATATAACTCTCATCTGAGGAAATAAGAGCAACATTACAAACAGCTGCTGTGTGTTCCTGTTCAGACCTCCAAAAAAGCCCTCAAATGTCCACAAGCAACCTATTGCTTACCCTTTTGCATGAATATTTGTAGCCTGATAATGACTATGGACCTTGCCTATGAAAAACAATTTTAAATGAAGAAAATCAAATGCTTAGTGTTTCAAAAGAAGTCAATTGTATAGAAATACAAAGTAGCAAAATATCTTTCAGAATGTGTGATATAACAAGAGCTTTGTTATTTGATAACACATTAAATCCAAGAGTTAGTGGGGGACTATGAAACTGATGAGCACGATGCGATGCTGAGCTACTTACAACAGCAGCAGTGGATATGGCAGGACTGAGAATTCTACTAGAGAAAATGGTCCAGGATATCTGGCACAACTGGTCCACTGTCTGCATTCATGATTGATGAATATGTTTCATTTTTGTCATAACTTACTGAAAACGAAAATTTAACTATCTTCTCACTCAAATTCTCAGGACCCCCAAATTCTACATACTAACTCCAGGCTAAGTCCCTGATTTAAAGGCAGGTGGGGTTATGTCCATTTTAAAGGACTTGCCCACCCAGTACATGGCATGGCTAGCACCATCTGATGCCTGTTTCATTCCTGCATCTCCAGCTGTTGGGAAACAAAATGGTAGCCAGTAACCTTCACTTTTCCATGTCATGTTCAGGTGCCCTGGCCAGCCTTCCCTGGGCAGGGCTTAGAATGGTGAATGATTCTGACCTACAGTGATGTGGACTCTGGACCTGGGCTGACCTACCTGATACCACAGAACTGTTGTAGGCCAGGGCAAACCGCTCATCAAAAACGAACAGCTTCCCTTTGTAAAAACCATCAGGAAACTCTTCCAGGTACTTGTGGATGCCACCCTTGAGCTGAAACACTTCCTTACACACTCCCTGGGTATAGAAAAAAGATCAAGATGTCAAAAGAAACAGGTTTAGACACAGTTCCACAGTGATGAGTGTCCAAGTGGAGTATCCACAGCCTGTGCCCATCAGCCAACGGCTCCCAAAGGCCCCTGCAGGGTGTGGAAAATGCTGACCAAAGGGTCAAGCAACCACCTGGCCAGACCTTGCCTACCAGAGGCTGGGTGATGACAGTTGTCAGGCCCTTCGCCCTCTAAACCCCAGGCAGCCTAACTATTTTTGCTACCCCCTAAATATAGGAAGGCATCTGTTGAGACATGTAAAGTTACTGAATTTGCTCTTCTCAGGATCACGCACAAGGATTAGGGAAGCGAGCTGCTCAGCTAAGCTTGTTCTTTTGTAGTTTGACGAGTCTTCAAGACTGCTAAGTGCCGGGGACTTAAGAAGCTCAGGTTTTAGACTGACAACCCCATGGTAGCAGGGAAAATAAATCCCTCAGCCGGCTAGGGGTGAGCAGGGGTGAGGGGTAGGAGTGAGGTGGGAAGCTCCAAACAGCTGTTGGTGAGGCATGGTCTTCACCCGTGTGCTGGGCCCGCAGCAGCTCACCTTGGCTTTGAGATACGCAGAACCCCGCTCACAGCGGATCCCCCCAGTGCAGTACATCAGCACCCGCTTCTGCCTGAAAATGTCAAGGTTTTTGTCAACGTAGCTAGGGAAGTAACTGAATTTCCTGATGTCTGGTGCTAAGCAGCCCTGGAATCGTCCCTACAACATAGGGACAGAAGGAAATGATTAGAAAATGTACCTGCTGGGAGCCCAGTTCTTTCTAGGTAACAACTCCCACCTTGGCAAAGAACATTTGCTACCAGAGGCTCGAATCCCACACTCTCTCCCTTGAACCTCAAGAGCTGGGGTTGTGGGTTCCCTTCTTACAGATCCCTCAGGGGAATGGTCAACATTACAGTGGCAGCTTTCACACTGGCACATGCCAACGGTAGGTTCATGGGAAACAAAATGCTTACATGTGCCAAGATGTCTTTAACTTGCATTTTTCTAAGCTTTCTCAACAGACCTGCGTTCAGGATGTAGGTTTTCCCTGTGCTGCCAGTACATGAAGGAGACTGACGTGGCTAAAGGTTCCACATGGGAAGGACACTGTGCTGCTGTGTGAGGCCCGCCCACCATTTCATGCCACTCAGTTCTGGCTCTTACTTACTATTTTGCTTTCATAGAAGTTTCTGCAGTCCAGTAGGATAGTATCACCTTGTTCCTGATTTGCCTGTGATAAAAGCTTTTCTATTTCTTTATGAAAATCTCCAGGAGATAAATGGATTCCTAAAACCAAGCCAAACAATTACATTACAACAAATGAAAAACTAATCACAGTTGTGCTAGCCTGACTGAAGTGCTGGCTTGCTCCTTTCCATGTCACCCTGGTTTTACAATTACAAGAGTCAGAAATGACAGCACTGAGGATCAGGATAAGATAGCTCAGCATCCGAAGCATTGTCCTCTCCTTACTCTAAGCTGTGACTACAGAGTTCCTGCAGTTCAGAAATCAGGGATTTTTCTTATACCAGATACGTGGGGATTTATTTGGAGTGCCAGTCCACTGTGTGCTGTGTGGTCAAGTGATTCTGGAACTGGACAGTGCCCTACTGTCAATGCGCACAAAAGAGCTTCAATGTGCCCAGTAGTCACTGCAGCCTTCAAACTGCCAAGTAAAAAAGTTGAGCACAAAATCAAGTCTAAGACCTTGGGTTACACCAAGGTAGTTGAGGGCATGAGTTTGAGCATATGTATGTTTGATACAAGGGTAAGAAGACGTATCTAAATTTGTGAGCATTCATAAGAGAAAAGGTGGGTGGAGGAGACAATACAAACAAACGTGAAAAAGAAGGTGAGAAAAAAAAGAAAAGAGACTGGAAAGAAGAGATGGAGATGAAATTAGAGTGTAAGAGGACTGAAAGGATTCTAGCCTGAAGAGCCTTTGCCTCTCAACTCAGAGCAGAAATATCCCCAGACATCTTACTAATCGTGAAGAACTTGGAGTGAACTTGGCACTGTGAGATAAGCACACTTGAGGGTGGGGCCTCCGGTGACAGTTATTGACCACTCATGACAGAGCTCTGCAGTACCACAGGAGCCTCACTCTATTGCCTATGAACCCCAACTACCACTTGATAGTTCTCCAAACACGGAGAGAAAAGGGGTCCCTGAGCACAGTTTAGGTTTCCAATTCTGAAAGCTAAAATTATAGAGTTTAACCAGGCCTGATGCTATTCAGGTCAATGTCACATAATTACACGGGTCCCAAAACAGTGATGTAAAAAGGGAGGTTCACAACTATGATGAGAAGCACAGAAATTCTCATTGCCTCCCCCTGTAGAGAGCTTCAGGGAGCCACATTCATTCCTTGTCACTGCTGTTACTGCTGCTGCTCTCTGGCAGAGGGAGCCCAAAGAGACCGAGACCAGACAGGCATGTTCACAAGAACCCCCTTTAGACCACCGGCTCCAGGTGAAGGCAGCCCAGGACTGCCTGCAGGCCTCCCTCAGCTCCCAAGCAGTGTCCTGCCACACCAGGGAGAGCCGCTGTCGTACCACCTCCTGCTAAATGGGGACACAGAACAGACACAGCCTGCCCGGTCCTTCTCTTCATGCCTGCTTCCAAGATGCTTGTATCTCAGCCCTTTCCCTCTGGTTTAACTCTTGGCCTTCTTTTTGATACTTACCTATGAAAAATGAACGCCTTGGAGGCAGGCATCCTTTGTTCTTTGAGAGAAGGCAGTAGTACGTAGGAAGCAGGGAAGCTCTGGAGGCAAGGAAAGGAACTGACCCTGCTCTGACCCAGGCTCTGGCCCAGAGCTGTCTAGCACAGACGTTGCTAGTCACTTGTGGCTGGCAACTACCTGAATGTGCTCTGAAGAAGGCGGTAGTAAATGTGACATACGTTCTGCATTCCAAGGATTAGGTATGAAAAAGTAAGCAACTTTGCTAATAGTTTTTGAATGAATTACACAGTGAAATGTTTTAGATACACTACATTAATCATGTTATGCAAGCTAATTTCACCTATTTCTATTTACACTAGAAATTGAAAAATAATGTTATGTGGCTCCCCTATTTCTACTAGACAGCACAACTCTCAATCTAAAAAGCAATCTAGGGGTAAGCGAACAGAGGACTATCCTATTGAGGTGTAATTAGCACTGTGCCAAGACTGACAAATGATTGAGTGACTTCAAAACTAACTGGCAGGGCCATCAAGATGACTCAAGCCTCATGATCTGAGTTTGATCCCCAGAACCCCATGGTGGAAGAAGAGAACCGAGCTCAGGAGTTATCCTCTGACCTCCACATGCTTGCTGCAGTTTGCAAGCCCCCAACACACAGAAACACATACAAATACATGAATAAATGTAATGTTTGAAACCCTAATCTGTAGTGAGAGGAGACGTAAAGGAAGTTTTGGTTCATTTAAAAAGTCAGTTATGTTGTATAAATATGTCTTATTTTAACCCCAAGTGTGAGATTTTAGTTGGGCCGATAACCGCCTCGTGCATGTCACGGCCTTTGGCAGCCGGTGTGGAAGGGGCACAGTCTAGGGCTCTCAGGACATAAATATGAGAGCCCAGAAAGAAAAGCGTGGCACCTGTGTTGGTGGCAAGAGGCGTGTAGCAGTTTGGAGACCAGAGATGGACAGTATGGTGGTTTGGGACAGGCAGCCAGAGAGAGACGCTTCATGGCGCAGACACTTGGAGGAGACTGTGGGCTGTATTTGCTGTTGGCAGAGCTTGTTAGAGCCCTAAAAGAACCCATCAACCCTAAACAGCTGGGAGAAGCAAAGGGGTCTGCACCCCCTCTCTCCACTACTCTTCTCTCCTACCTAGGGTTGGGGGCTTGGAGGAAAAGGCTTGAAGGAGCCTTAAATGAAATAGTTTGAATTGAGTGCTGCAGGTAGAGGTGAAGGTGCAGGAGAAACAGCCAACGGAGGACCACCCCATGGGATGCACTTAACACTATCCAGATTCCGAGAAACTCCACAAGCAAATCACAGTCCTTGAAATCCAGTCTGCAGCAGGGGAGAGCACTGAAAATAGGTTTGTTTGTTTGTTTGTTTTTTGTTAAAGGGATCTCATTTAAATCTGTTTCCTTTTATTTGTGTGGGGGTCAGAAGACAGGCTCAGGTGTCAGTGCTCACCTTGCATCTTGTTTGCAAGGGACTCCTGTTTGCTAGCTGGCCTGTGAGCCTCTGCAGCCTCCTGTCTCTGCTCCCCATCTCACAGCAGGACTGGGACTGCAGGTGTGCACTGCTGTGTCCAGCTTTACATGGGCTCTGCAGAATGGAACGCAGGTCCCCACACTTGAGTGACAAGTGTGACAAGCTTTACCCATCTTCCCAGACCCTCTTACATATTCTTAATAGAAACTTAAGAAATCATTACACAGCTGGGAATTCACTGACAAGATATTTATTAAGTAATTATTGCTAAAATGTTTCAGACATGGTAACAGTTAAATGTAGCTGTTACTCTCATTCACTCAGAGGTAACTACTAAAGTCTTAAGGAGTGAAATGACATGAGCCAGAGGTTCTTTTGAAAATCATCTAGGATGAGAGAAAGGGATGGGGTGCAGAGGACAGCCTGCTATGAATAAGTAGCTGAGGCTTTGTAGTAAGTATATGGAAGTTCACTCTATTATTCTCTGTACTCTAGTTGATGTTTGAAAAAATAAACAAAACCCCAAATCCCCACCAAACAAATGTCTTTCAGTCATCTATAGTAACCGCAGGGATCGAATGTTCTAGAACACTGCTTTGGTTTTGAAAGCTATTTGCTTACTGTGGCAAAAGCCCATGCACTCTTTCTGCTGACCAACTATTTGCATGTAGTAACTGCAGTGCTTTCAAATTGCTCTCTCTAGAAAGAGGAAACAACTTGCCAAACTATCACCAAGAAAAATAGCTATGGGTCTAAAAGTGAGCCTTTAATTACCATAAGCACCAGGGAAGCCAGGCTAAGTGCTTGATGGACAAAGAGTTAGCCTCCCTGTGGCTATTTCAAAGAGAAGACTCACCTACAGTTCTTGCTAATCAGTGTCTACCTTTCTTATTTACCCCTATGACAGAAAGCACAACTTTGTAAACATAAGCTTACCAGGATTCTTGTAGGAGACCTGGCTGGGGCTGATCCCCATAGGCACGATCTCGTCAAAGACGCCGACTCGCAAGTCCGGGAAGCAGTGAGCCCCTCCTTTGCTGCGCTGGCCAGGGAGAAACAAGACAGAGTTTACTTGTCCCACTGCCAGGTAAAGACAAGTGCAAATATAGGATCTATGCTCTGTTTTAGAGTGTGATTGTTCAAATTTTAAACCTCAAATTAGAAGGGGAAAAGGAGCTTTCAATGGAGATAAAGTTATGGTCCAGAATATTCCAGATAATTCAACATGCTACTGTTTACTGTGCCTCCTCCATATGCACCAACACTGTGCATATAAGGCTTTGTGCACTTACTCAGCACTTGAGAAATGCACATGTGATCACACACCAGCTTCTGCTCTGAAGCAATGACCGCTAGTGTTTTGCTGTGGCCAGCATGAGCATTAGTGAGGTGTTCCCACCAGCTTACCACCTACTGTGACAAAGCATAAAGTACTCAGAGCACCTCAGCTGAAAGAACCAAGGCTTCAACTTCAGGTTTACTAAAACCATAGGTTTACTAAAACCATGGTCCACAGCAGAGATCTGTGAAACAGTCTCCCCAGTTAAAACATCCAGGTTTTGAATACCAGCTTGTTTAAGTGGAACACCCTTAAAGGAAGGAGACCTAGGTTCTACAGGGGTACTGACATGACAAGTGGCATGCTCACTGTGGAAACAGTGACAAGTACATTTGTTTTACTGCACTGGCTTGGAACTCAAAATGAAAAGGGATTTGTCTGGTTCTGTGTGTGCTCTTCAGTGACCCACAGAAGCAGACTGCTCTAGCTTTAGTTCATTTTCTATTCTCTTACCTTAAAGTCATCCTCACACAGGTAGCCCTTAAACAACGGGCAAGAAAGCATGACTTCTATGTAGAGTCTGGTGGCTATTTTGCTTCCTCCGACAGTCCCATTGATTCCTTCAGTAGCAATCCGAATCTGAGACACAACACAGTGAGGAATGGATTGCTGTCTTAGTTTGGTTGTCTTCCCAGGATAAACTAAAGGTCCCTTTCATGTCAGTGAGTGTAACAGGAAAAGCAGAGGTCCTGCTCTGACCACCAGTGTTACAAGATGGAGCACAGGTGTCCCTCTGAAACAGCATGGCCCACTGCTTATCTCAGGAATTCAGCCCATATATGCCAAACAAGCTCTGGAAAGCGTTTGCTCCAGAGCCCAATGGTCCAGTAGCCAAAAAGGATTCTGATAGGATTCTAGACCCAGGCTGTAGACAGAATCTTCCAGAGGCTCATGGAAGAAGATGGGCTCCACCATCTCCTCACAGGCAGCCCAAGAAGCTTACATAGGTACAAAATTCCAAAGTAAATAAAAAAATAAAAAAAAAAAAAAGCCCCGGGAAGATTTTACCGGAGTCCTGACAGTGGGACGCATGTGTCACCTCTGCATGGTAGCTGAGGGAAAGCCACCACCCCAGACCCATGCACTGGAAGTCAAGCTGTAGTTTGCTCACTGAAGCACCCCCTGTCTGTATCAACGCCTGCCACATGGTGGGTCTCATGTGCAAATGAATGTGTATCCCCATCTGAGGCTCTCTAGCTCCTCTAACCTGAAACAGTCTATGAAATGCTTCACCTGTGACGGGTCAGGAAAGCTTTGGCTAGGTGTGCCTGGGGGCTTGTACAGTCGGTTACCCCAGTAGTATAAAATCCTATAAGTGAGTTTAAAGATGGTGCAGCTTTATAAGGAGCCACCCCCAGAGTAAGGTGCTAGAAAATGCCAGCTGAGGAAGCATACAATTTCTGAAGAGAATTGAGTCAATTCAAGGCCCTGAACTGTTACCGCTGCACACATATGAATGCAGCCAAATTTGAAAGCTGTATGTGGCTGTTCATTTTCAGTGCCCAGAGAAGACAACTGAGTTGTTGTCTCATTTGATCCAATTCTTTAGGTCATCCTACAAGCCAATGCCAACTGACCAGTAGTAGCAGTATCCCAATTACTGACTTTTTGAGAAAGAGGGCTGCAGCAAGTGTATGTGGAGCTGGTGGAATTGGAGATGGAGATGGTGCAAGACTTGTCCAGCACTTGCAAGGCAGAAAAGCAGGCCAATCTATGAGTTCAAGGCCAGCCCGGCCTACAGAGTGAGCTCCAGGACAGCCAGGGTCACACAGAGAATTCTTGTCTTGGAAAATCAATAAAATAAAAAATAAAATAAAATAGGGGCTGAAGTCCAGGAGAGCCTTCTCTGGGTATGAGGCAGAGAAGCAGAGAGAGCACAGGCCATCTCTTCTATAGGATATCACACCTTATCACCAACTAATAAGAGACTACAAAGAAAAAGAGCCTGGGACCAGCAAGACCAGGAAACTTGTCTGAAAGCAGTCTGACTGGGGCAATGGTGAATGTGCATTTTTATGTGACTGTTTCTGAGTGGACAGGCAAATTCTTCCTATTTTATTTTGACCTCAGCAGCCAAATTAATGCCAACATATCCACTCCCTACAGGATCATCTCTAAACTCACTCATTACACTAGCAATATCTAGATTCTTAACATGTCCTTCAAAGATGCTCTTTGTTGAAAAAGCCTTGTAAGTAGGAAACTAAGACAAGCAACAGTTAGCATTGTGGAACACCTGCTGAGACAGAGCTCCTAACTGTTAAGTCATCTCTACAGCTCACTCTCAAATTTCTTGAGCTCTTATGATGTATAGGAAGGAGCATTCAGGTTCTCCTTTTCCTTACCTAAAAACCAACATGTTTTTAGGTACTAAAGTATCTAAAGTATCTCACTAAACTGGCCAAGTCCTTGAAGTCTAGAGATATGGATCTGAGAGCTAGGAAGATGCTGCCACCTGGTGGACAGGATTGCTCACTGCTAGCAGGCCACAGGCGGGACTGAGTTTAAAAAAATGCCTCCTTGACCGAGACCCTTTTTTCCTCTGTATGTGTAGCCTAGCCTGCTCTTGGAATTGCAGCAATCCTCTGGCCTCCGCCTCCTAAGTGTTGAGATTACACGTGTATACCATCATACCTAGCTTTAAACCAAAATAAGATTGATTTCATAATTATGTACATTTTCTGTGAGAGTTAACTGAATGGGGATAGTGATATATATTTTTTTTCAGAGCACAAATACTTACTTTTTTTCAAAACTGTTTGCTAGGAATTAAGGATATAGTTGTTGAAAAGGCGCCTACTCTCGCTCTGGCCTCTGCACAGACTAAAGGAGGTCAAGACGCTAAGAGCACAAGTAAACACGTGCCACGAAAGGGTCAGACGCTCCGGGAGGGTCTACGGGGAAATGAATGTAGATGAGAGGTCAGGAAAGGCCTCCGAGAGTCATTGACACCAAGCTTCAGTAAAATTAGACTAGAAAAAAAAAGAGTGTGGGAATGAGCATTGATGAGAATTTGCCCTAAAAAAAATGGGCATACAAAACAAGAGTTGGTGGGTCCCAAGAAACTGAAAGACACAACTGGAGTGTGAAGAGTGAGGGCGGCAAGGGCCCAGGTCCTGCAGCAGCCTAGGCTGTGTCAAGGGGGTGGGCTGCACCCACCTGCAGCTGCTGAAGCTGTTCTAATGAGCTCATTCTGGCTGCTGCATGGAAAGCAGACTAAACAGAGGGTAAGAATTGGAGACTGGAGGCTAGTCTAGGAAGCCTGAGCACAGTGGCAGCGTGGGCTAGGGTAGTAGCGTTAGAACAGAGTCAAAAGATATTGCAGGGAAAGGTGTGGTGACGAAGTGGACAGGTGAGTTTACCAATACTTGTCAGACAATGTAAGTGTAGAAAACGGCACTGACCAATGAGTTATTAGTAACTGTGGCATAGAAAAACTTAACCACAGGATTCTCCAAAGGTCCCTACTTCCTTTTGGTTTAAATTTTGAAAATTATTTAATGTGCATACATATAGATGGAAAATAAACTACAAAGGGCATTTTACAAAAATAAATGCCATTCTCTCATGCAGAGATGAGAATATGGGACTATGCTTCCTCTCATCTTTACACACACACACTTGTGGATACCTGAGGAACATGTAGTCTTTCTCTCCTTTATTTAGCAGTTTCCAATCCTTACAGAGTATCTGCCATTGGAGTGGTATTTTTGTGCACTGGGCAAAGATTATCCTTGTATTTACTCAAATGCAATAGTGCCCGAAGCTTTTAATAACTATAACAGGTCTCCATGTCATTATTCAGAGCAAGGGCAGGCACTGAAAAGCCATACATTTACAGCCTTCTATATGTTCAACCTTGCTCCAGCACTGAGACCACATCAAGACGAAGCTCCTGCCTCATGAGGTGCCTGGATGCTATGAGGGAGATAAGCTCTAGTTTCAGACCATACTCTAGTCTTTAAGCTGCAGCAAAGGCAGAGAGTGGTGAGGACACTTCACATTGCCCTTCTGTGGAAACAGCATTGGAATAGAGCTCTGAGAGCACATGGGGCATGCAAGGGAGGGGGCGGTCCGCATAGAAGGTAAGAGGTACAAATGTCAGTTCCTGAGCTCGGGAGCGACCTGATCCTATGGAAACCAAGGTGTAATTTGGAATTAAACCTACATGCAAAATGTATAAGAAGCTTTTGAGTTCAGAACATCTCCCTATCTCAGCCATCAGCAAACTGCCTTTGCTTCAGCATACAATGTATCAGAACCCAGCCATATTCATGTACCACCCATGGATGCTTTCAATCTACAACAGTGCTGAGTAATTTTTTTTTTAACAAAGCCTGAAATATTTACTAGTTTACCCTTTAGATATAGGTTGACCAACTCTTGATCTATAATAACGTATCAACAGCTATTCAATACTTTACTAGAATGCCAAGCAGGACTTCCCTTCCTTCTAACAGCTTACCAAGTGAAGACTTGTAGAAAGAGCATAGCTCCTGAGGCTCTGTAGGGTGCGTGTGGAGCAGGGCTTACCTTGCCTGTAAGATGAAGGTGATGGCACAGAGCTGTCTGCCAGGCACAGATCCAGCGGGGGTCCTCCAAGTCACAGTAACAGTAATACAGAAGCACCTCTCCTTCCTTGTCGCTCTTGCCACTACAAAAGGGAAGTCAGAGGGCAAGAGCAGCTGAGCCTCAAGGAGGCCAGTTCCCAGTGCATCCAGGCAGAGTGGGAAGACCACAAAGATGGAGAAACTCTCGCCTTTGTTCTTATTCTTCTAACACAGGAGCACTTCTCTTTCATGTTTTCTCTACAAAGGACAGTATCAGGGCCAGACTTCTTACATTATAAAAACCAAATCTGCTTTACTGTCCTCACTTACCATTTGCACCCAAGAGACAGATATTATTAATTCTACTTTATAGGCAAACTGGAAATTTGAGCCCACTGTGGCTTATCCTCCATCACCAGGCAGTATCTGGTTTGACTGTCTCACCATAAAAAACATTTTACTTCAGTTTTTTCATATAATACACACACCTATGAGACATGTTATTATTGGCCACATAAGACAAACCTTTCTATGTCAGCATGCTCACACAGTAGTGGTAAACATCAGTACTTTAAGAGAGCAGAGCAGAGTGTAATACAGTTTGAAACTACTTAAAAAATTTAAATCAAAGGAAAGGTTGGATTCTGAAAATTCAGTATATGGAATAGTGTACTCTAATATTAAAAAAAAAAACATTTTATGCATTTACTATTTTTATGTGTGTGGGTGTTTTGCCTGGATGTATGTTTGTGTACCACATGCATGTAATACCCGTGAGAGCCAGAAGAGGGCATCTTATCCCATGGAGTTACAGATAGTTGTGCGCTACCCTGTGGGTGCTGGTAATCAAACTTGCAGGCTCTGGAAAAGCAGCCAGTGTTCTTAACCACTGAGCCATCTCTCCAAGCCCTTTCCAATAATTTTGATGAATGATTTGTCTGTCTGGATGCATATTTCCGAATTCATCAGTACCTGGACCAAACAAATCTGTTTGATTCTTAACTACTCTACTAGCTTAGACATTTTAAATTAAAGTATAACTTACAAATGAAATTCAAGCACATGTTCCCATCCAAACCCTCAGGAGGAAGCTTTCCATCATTACAGATGGGCTTTACCCTCCAGTAGTGCAACCACAAAGCACACACCCTTCTGTGGAACTTCTGTCCTCTCAGCATGAAGAACTGACAATTGTTCACACACGGCCCTGGGTCATTAGCTGTCCATGGCTCTTACTGCAAGTCTTCCTTCTTGTTTGTTTTGTCCCTCTGTGGAGCCCTGGCTGTCCTGGAACTCCCTCTATAGACCAGGCTGGCCTTGCACTCGGAGATTCACCAGCCTCTGCCTCCAGAGTGCTGGGACTCAAGGCGTGCACCACGTTGCCTGGCAGTGGGCAGTGCTGACATGACTGCATCCGTCCTTTCATTTTCCTGCTATGGCTATTTACAGTTGTTTCTAGTTTGTGTTTTTAAATTAATTTTTTAAATCTTTGTGTGTGTGTGTGTGTGTATGTGTGTGTGTGTGTGTGTGATTACCTATATGGTATGAATGTGTTTGTGTGTGAATGCAGGCATATGGGTGTCACAATTTGTATGTGGGAGTCAGAGACAATCAGTCCTCACCTTCCACCTTGTTTGAGACAGGGTCTCTTGCTCTTTACAGCCGTGTACCCAACACTTCTGTCCTGTGGGCTTCTGAGAAATCTTGCCCCTATCTCCCATTTGGCTGTAGGAGCACTGGGATTACCCAAGCACTGATATGCCCGGCTTTATATGGGCCATGGGGATTCAAACTTAGGTCCTCACATTTACATGGCAAGCACTTTCCCCAACAGACCATTCTTCCAGCCCCTATCATTTTAAAATATAACTGGCTTACTTCTGGTTGGCATATAAGATAATGGGTTGTTTCCAATATTTTGTTTTTACAAATAAAACTGCCACAAACATTTGTGTTTAGGCTTTTGTGGGCATATGTTTATACTTCTGTTGGTTGTAAACCCAGGAGTGGATCCCTGGGAAGATGTCTGAATTTTAAAAGAAATCTGCCAAACCCTTTTTTCTGGAGTGGTGGGACCATTTCCACTGTTACCAGCAATGACTGGGTGTTTTAGTTGCTTCACCAGTCACCTGTATCTGCCAAGGTTGGTATTTCTCATTTTGCCCATTTTAGTAGATTAACTGTAGTATCTCATTGTGGTTGGAAAATATTTTAAAAACAAACAAAATACAGAGTGAAAAACTTACCTCAGCTCATCCAGGCTAAAGCTGCTTCTATCAGGGAGCCAAGCAGACACTTCCTGATGAGGAGTGAGCCTGTCTTCGTCTGTAGCTGCCGGACTCTGTGAGGCACTCACTGCTGCGGTTAGCTGCTTTAGAATGGCAGCAGTCTGCTGGTAAACAGCTTCTGCATGCTGGGTTGCCACGTGTCTGTGGATGCTGGTCTGCTCTGCAAACAGCTGCTGACAACATCGCCACCGTTTTTCCTTAAATTCGTAAGAAGGTGCTGGAAGTTCTTTGGTTTTGACAAAAAGGGCAAAGGCCTGCAATTAAGATTCCAAACACCATCATTGTTTAACAGCCTTAGGTTTAGGAGTAACAAAGGTTTCACTACAGTCTCTTATATCACCTTTTATGGGGGTTGGGGTTTCTAGTTTGGCATCTTGCCAGTCTATAAAGAATTCCAAGAGCAACAACGTGGCTTTGTATTGCTTCTAGCAACCCATACACTTGACACAGGAGTGGCCTTCCAAACCTCAGCTTCAACATCTACAGTCTTCTTCTGCACATGTCAGAGACATGGACAAACCTGGACACCTTGCTGCTTCCTATGTTTGTTGATGCTGTTCCCTAAAATGGGATGCTACTCTGTTTTCTCTATCATAGTGGTTCTCAACTTTCTTAATGTTGTGACCCTCTGAAACAGTTCATGTTGTAGTAACCCTCAACCATAAAATTATTTCATTGCTACTTCATAACTGTAATTTTTTTTATAATTTTTATTTTAATCACAGGTCATTCACTTGTATCCCAGCTGTAGCCTTCTCCCTCTTTCCCTCCCAATCCCATCTTCCCTCCTTCATCTCCTCCCTGCCCTCTTCCAAGTCCACTGATAGGAGAGGTCCTCCTCCCCTTCCATCTGACCCTAGCCTATCAGGTATCTTCAGGACTGACTACAATGTCCTTATCTGTGGCCTAGCAAGGCTGTTCCTCCCTTGGGGGGAGGGGGAGATCAATAAGCCAGTCACTGAGTGCATGTCAGAAATAATCCTTGTCCCCCATACTAGGGAATCCACTTGGATACTGAGCTACCATGGGCTACATCCGAGCAGGGGTTTTAGGTTATATCCATGCATGGTCCTTTGTTGGAGTAACAGTCTCATGAAAGACCCCTGTGCCCTGATATATTTGATCCTTGTGGAGCTCCTGTCCCCTCTAGGTCATACTAACTCCCCCTTCTTTCATATGATTCCCTGCGCTCTGCCCAGTGTTTGGTTCTGAGTCTCAGCATCTGCTTTGATATACTGCTAGGTAGAGTCTTTCAGATGCCCTCTGCAGTAGGCTCCCATAACTGTAATTATCCTTCTGTTATAAATTGTAATGTAAATATTTGATAGGCAGGGTAGCTGATATTTTACCCCAAAGGGGTCATGACCCAGAGGTTGAGAACTACTTTATCAAATCACTTTTAAACACTTAAAACTCATTGCAGAGGCCTCCCCTGATATTAGTCTGTGACATACCCATGAAATGCTATCTTTCTACTTTCTAGATATAAAATCTTTTATTTCCACTTTCTCACTTAGGTGTAAATACTGGCTCTACTAGTTACCTTTGAAAAACAAATGTGAGACGTTATTCAGCCTGTAGGTACCAAATTTCTATTTGGAAAAAGTAAATCAATGGTTTTTTTACATAAATGGTTTTTGTTATTTTTGTTTTGTTTGGTTTGGTTTTTTGGTTTTTCAAGACAGGGATTCTCTGTATAGCCTTGGCTGTCCTGGACTTGCTTTGTAGACCAGGCTAGCCTTGAACTCACAGAGATCCTTGTGCCCCTGCCTCCAAGAGTACTGGGATTATAGGCATGCGCCACCACGGCCGGCTTGAATTACATAAATGTTGAACAGCATTCTTAGAATTATGTCCTCCTCTAATACAGGAGTCACAGTGCAAGGCACTCCTGAGTGTTTCCCATCTGCTTCCAGCCTCATCACTCACTATTTCTTTCACAATCTTAGTTCAAATGAACCACTCTATTCACTGTTCCTTAATGTAACTTGAACAACCCTGCCTCCCAGCTTTGCTTATGCTCTGCTTAGTGTCTGGAACTCTCCTCTTTTGTAAAAATCTTATCCAACTGAAAAGATGCCATCCTTTAAAGCATACATTTATAAGGCAATTATAGCCCAAATGAGCTAAGAACCCCTCAGGGAACTGACAAGCCTGTTCTCGGTAACTACCTCCTACTGTCCATCCAGCAAAATCCATTTTCCTTTCTTCCTGGAACACCGTCTTTCCTAGCCTTTGCAATTAGGGCTGTACAACTGCTTCCAATGGAACTGACGTGCTACAATTCCACTTCTGCTCCGCAAAAGCCACCCACGTGTGCACCTCTGTGCTCTCTTCCTCCTTAGCTTTAATGGAGAGGGAACTCTGGAAATGTGCTGAGTCCTGCAGAGGTGACATCAGCCTGGGTCCTTGCAACCTGTATGTTAATAATCTCTCATGTCCCAAGTTCAAACCCCTAATGTGCTCTATTCACTGCAGGTGTGAGGCTATTTGCTACTGTAGCCTTGGCCACCACAATTAATGCGTTAGGAATTTCTACAAGACTAATGAGGAAGAACATGGAGCAAAGGCATGGACACATAGCTAGCTATGATAAGCAAAGTCAATCCCAGCAAAGGCAAATGGCTCACTGTGACTTTAAGGCCAGCCTGGTCTACAGAGTGAGTTCCAGGCCAGCCAGGGCTACAATGAGACTCTGCCTAAAAAAACAAACAAAACAAAAACCAAAAAAATCCAGAACATTTTTAAGTCTTTTCTTCCATATCCTATATCCAATCCACCAACTCTACATCCAAATACACCCAGAATCTAACCATTTCTCATCACCTCCCTTGGCCACCACTCCGCTCATCCAAGCAGTCATTCTTCCCTGGATTATGATAACAGGTCCTTAGACTCACTCTTTCCATACTTATCACCATTTGTTTTCCATACAAAATGCCTTTTAAATCTAGATCAAGTCGGGCATGGTGACCCATGGATCTGAGTTCAAGGCCAGCCTTGTCCACAGAGCAAGTTACAGGATAGCCAGGGCTACACAGAGAAACCCTGTCTCAAAACAACAAGAAAACCAAAACTAGATCAGATGACATTCCACTATTCAAAATTCCCCAAAGGCTCTTTTCCTATCCTCTAGGAAGACCCCAATCTGGTTCCTTCTGCTGCTCCTGCTCCATCCTGTTTCAGCCAGCTAGTTTCCTGCCTATGAGTTTTCAGTTCCCTGTTTCTAAGAAGAGGGGGTTTCAGCCAATGATTTCAACAACAAAAATACATGGCACTAAAGAGGGGCATTATTACCAAACTCTTGCCCACCAGCAGCAGGTTCAGTACCAGCCTCAACAGATGTCTGCTGCTCCATTACCTGCCCTTTTTCTTGCACTGCAGCTCTGAGTTCCTGAAACTCTTTCTGCAATGGAGAAAAGAAGTCCAACCTTCCTGTCTAGGACCTAGTAAACCCAAACACTCCACCCTAACTGTTCCAATACTACATGATACTGGACTACACTGTAAGGTGCAAGGCAGGCTCAGTGATACACTTCTGTGTGCACTTCTTTAACTTTACGTACATGAGCATGATGACACTGACAGCAACTTTACCTTTTTCTTTGCAAAGGAGTATTTCTTCTTTGTTCTGACATCTAACTCTGCTTTGAGACTGTTGCTGGAGTTAACCAGATTTGACTCTTTTAAATCCAGATCAGAAAACTTTAGAACACAGGTCTCCAGGCCACCGTCTTCGTCTGGTGAAGTGGAAGAAGGCATCTGGTTTGCTCGGTGGGATAGTCCTTCCAGTCAGCTATCTTCTGAGACATAGCAGGACAGAGAACGGGATGCTCACGTCTTTGTTGCTTTTTGACACAGACATGAAGCTAATGAATCCTGCAGATGAGTGGTACCCTCATAGCCCACGCTGTCCATTCATTCACTTGTATACTCAATAATATTTATGTGAAAACTACGCTCAGCCAGGCACAGTTCTGCACACAATAGAGCAGTAAATCATCAGGGAAAAGGCTGACCTCGCAGGAGTTTACAATCTAGTGGGGAAGGTATGCCAATAAGTTAATTTTTTTAAAGTCAGGTTTTAATTTTTTTTAATATTCTAAAGGAAAATAAGCAGAGTAAGGAGGCACCTGGAAGGGCTTTTTATACATAAGGGGGTAGAAAAAGCCTTTTGGAGGCAATACATTTTCAAAGAAACATGAACTAGTAAGCAAAAACACAGGGTGGATGTTAGGAGGCAAACACTGCACACACCTGAAATCAACCAACACCAGCCTAACTATGGCTTTGTTTCTTTTGTTCTAAATCTCAGAGCCAAAGTTTCAAAATTGCCACTGTGGCCAAATCTTATAAAAATGGATACACCATAACCAATGCACTTTCCTTTCTTTCCTTAGTTACATTTTATTTATTTCTGTGTCTCCTGGTGCCTGGATGTCTGCCAGTTCTCTCCACATTTACACAGCTCCAGAGATGAAACTCACATTGCCACATTGTGTGGCAGATGCTTACCTGCTGAGCCATCTTGCCAACCCCTATTTTTTAATTTAATCCGAGACTAGGTCTTGCTATGTAGTAGAGGCTGGCCTTGAACTCCTAGTAATCTTGAATTTGAGATTCCCCTTGCCTCTATTTTCACAATGCTGTACCACCATATCAGACCCTAAGCTTTGCCTTCCTCTTAAAGTCAGTAATCCACTTTGAACCACATTCACAATCACCCCAGCACAAGGCCCCAACATTTCTGGCCTGAATTACTGATGCTTATAAGTGCCTTCCTGGAGGACTTTTTCAAAGTCTCAACCTACTCAGACAATCTGTCCCCGCCCCTCTGATATCAATTTGTACCACTCTCCCTTTGCTATTAGGTCAATGCCTGTGGCCATTCCCGAGAAGGTCAGTTAGGGCTTCCGCTCCAAAGAGCAGAGGCTTCACCTTGCTCACCAGGTAGCTTCAGTATCCTCAACACTGTCTTGTGTACAGAAGGTGACAAATGTTAATTAATACAATACAGTACTTGTTGAATGAAGTAAAGCAAGCATTGAAGAATGATAGGAATTAATTCTGTAAGTACCGGATAGTCAGTAGATTTCAGAACACAGACCATCAGGTAAAGGAAACAATGCACTGATCCCTAAAATGTGAACAAACTGGACTTCTCAGAAGAACATAGTGGTTCATACTGAGATGGGGACAGGACTCAAGAAGCCATAGTTCGAAGTTTGCAAGTTAGTTCCCGGAGGGATGGATTGTTTACATGTATGAATAGATGAAAAGAATAGATATAAGATATTATTAAAAAAAAAAAAAAAGTAGATCTGGAAAGATGGCTCAGTGATTAAGAGTGCTTACTGCGCTTGCAGAGGATCCGGAATTCGTACACACGTACACACACACACACACTGCACCACACAATGCAGCTCACAAGTGTCTGAAACTCTTTTTCCAGATCTGCTGCCTTCTTTCGGTCTCCACGGGCTCCTGCACACACGTCAATGTACAGACACACACGCAGGCGCAAACACGTGTTTCTTTTTTTCTAAGTCCATGAGGAGTTTTAAACACAGTAAATAAATTTAATCATGTACTTGCTCTGAAAGTACAGCAAGCAGTGTCTGTGAATAAACTGTTACACAGGAAGGATCTAATGACTCCTCCCCTAAATGTATAGATTAAGCAAACGACTGAAACGGCCATTGGCTGGAACAGGTAAGATTGAAGGAAAAGTTTCGGCCAGACCATGGACAAGACAGTTTGGTGCCCATCAAAGACATCAGGGCCGAAGACGTCAAAAACTGTACACGTGCAGAGGGACAAAAGGCTGGAACCAGACTGACCGATCTCTGCGGCGTCTGTCAGCTGGGAGAGACGGGAGGTAGGGCGACCGCGAGTCGGCTCCGCCGGCCGGCCCTGGCTTCCCTGCCGCTGGGGAATGGCTTGTCCACCCTTCCCGCCCAGGTCTCCCGGGGCGGCTACGGCCGGGCGGCGAGAGGGAGGACACGTACCCGCCGATCCGAGGCCTTTCCTGGGTCTCCCTTCACCAACTTGGCGCTTCTCCACGCCCTCGAGCCCACGCCCTCCCCCGCCGCGCGCGTGCGCACAAAGTTCCTGGGAACGTCACCTCGCTCCGGAAGTCTCCAAAGCCGTCGGCGCAGGGGCCGCCGGGAAAAATACGGCCGGGTCGGTGCAAAACTGAGGCGGGATCGTTGCGGCCGAAGCAGTTTAGCTCGCCGTCGGGAAAGTCTCAGGGTGGAAGGCGGGAGGAGGCGGCCGCGCGTGGAGCTGCAGACGCCGGCCTTCCACGGCGGAACCCGCCCGGTACCTCTCCGCTCGCGCTTCCGGCCGGCGTCGGGAGCTAGTGCGCCTGCGTGCCGGCCAATCCGCGCGCCTCGCTGCTGACCGCGCACCGGCCGGCCGGCAGCCCGACGGTTCTGGTGTTGCAGGCGACTCGCAGCTCAGCTCCGCCGCGCAATAGCAAGCAGCATGTCGCGGAGGCGGCACAGCTACGAGAACGATGGTAAGTGCTCTCGGCCTGGCCGCCGCGCCTGGTTGAGCGCTGAGGCCGAACTGCTTTGGTCCTCCGGTCTCCAGGGAACAGCCCTTTCTCCCCAGGAGGGTTCGGGCAGCTCCGAAGGGAGGCAGCTGGCGCGGCTCGGGTGTGGTTAGTAGCTCCAGAAAAGCCACGGCCTCCTCCCCTGCCCCAACTCCATCAGTCATGGGGAAGGAGGGCCTAGTGAACCCCGTGGGCAAGCCGGACCCGGTGTCCACCCACACTTAAGACTTAATCCTCCACTGCTGAGCTTGGAAACGCACGTGTGTCTGCTGCTGTCCCTGAGTCAGTTAGTGGTAGGGATCTTGTGGTGCAGTGTTTTCTTTTTAGTCCTCCTGGGTGCACCTGGAAAGGACCCGGGAAGACAGGAACAGAACAAAGCTGTGACAGAGTTCGGATGTATTGCACTCTGAGCCCTACTCCTCTACCTGCCACCCGCAGATGTTTCTCCTTTAAGCTTCAAGGAAAGAATTTTGCCTCTTAACAACACCCCAGAGGTCACTAATAAACAGACACGTGCTGTTCCGTTGGATTACTCTTAAGCATATTTCTCTGTATAAGAAAGTGCAGGAAAACTCACACTAGTAATTCTCCTGTTGGCTTTGATAGTCGCCGGCAAGGAGGTGGTTGTGTTGCCATCAGTTTTGTTGCCACGCTCAATTTTGCACCATTACTGCCTTTCAAGGACACAGCCTTACACAAGAGTGAAACTTGGAGCTGTTGATATTTTATTGAATTACTCTTCGAAGAGTCTGTATAGTCAAGGCTGACATCTATTGACTGTGTGGTTTTGCTACAGTCCTGGGACTTCGTTAAACCTGAGTGTTTTATGTGGTTTCTATGAGGGTTAAATGAGATACTCTGTTCTCCAATGATTCATGATAGTTATGTTGTCAACTGTTAATGTCTCAGAGGTGATAACGCACGGATAAATGCCAGCATCATAATAGAGACAAAACCATTTAATCGGATGGATTAGCTTTCTCTCATGGAATGTTAAGACAACCAAGCAGAAATACAGTTTTAACAGTGGAACACCAGGTTTTTGCTAGGGAGTACCTGGGAGGATATCCCAGTCTGTCAGTGCGCAGAGGCACCGGTGCGGGTCAGTGCCCTCCACCGCATAGGTGCTCCGAGTGTTTTGTTTGTTTTTAACATGGGGGTCTTCTTAGGTAATGCATATACAGAACATGGGAAATAAAGTTTTTCTCAGTTTTGTATATGGCCAGTGGACTAATCTGCTTTGGGTCAGAGAATTTATCCTTGGTCTTCATCTCTTGTTCCTCCCAATCTCTTTGCTCGCCTTACACTTTTCTCCATCTTTCTCTCACTTCAAGGTGCCCCTAAAATGAGAGAGAGATGGCACTGGAGAGCCAGTTGGAGAATTAAAATGTAAATATATAGAAAACTTCTTTTGGTTTGTTTTAGGAGGTTTGCATAACTTTTTGGTTGTAGTTGGCTTTCTTACCTTAACTAGAAACTAAATCATTTTCCCAGTTGGACCTGGCTATAGAAACCTTAGAGTAAATAGAACAAAGTGTCGTAAAATTAAGCATTTGTTAGTCAAAATGCAGTATAACAAATCAGTTAGTAGTGGAAAGGCTGTCTATAGTTCCTCCAATTGTACACATATGGAAATACACATTATTATATGGAAATACACATTATTAGAGTTTAATACTCAGTTAAGAGTTTAGTGATCTCAATTTCAAAATGTGCTGGTTTTCAGTGAAGTATTTACAGTTTAAAAAATATATAGACAGCTGTTTTAAAGGTGGCTAGGAATTCTAAAAGAATGAAAGTTAAATAGATTAAGCATTTCTAGGTTATTGTCAGCTCTACTCTGACTTTTCTTATACTGGAAGTTGGCCTTCTACTCTTCATTCTCTATCCTTGGATTCAGCATTCTGGTTACAAAATATTTGAAGAAAAAGGCCTCAGTACTGAAGCTATAGTTACTTTTTCCTTGCTATCTCTTAAATGATACAATGTCACAACTATTTACATAACACTTATATTAGGCATTGTATGATACATAGTGTAGAGATAATGTAAAGTATCACAATATACACAGATTATGGGTAAATACCAACACCAATTTATGAGCATTATCAAATTTTGGTATCTGAGCTGAGCCCTGTGGATACCAAGGACAATATATAATATAATCAGGACATGCTAAACAATTTTCTAACTACTTGTAGTACAGTAGCAGGCCACATAACAATGGAGGTTTCCTCCCATGTATCAAGGCAAAACCCGATGAGGTATAGTGTAATTCATCATGTGGTTGTGAGAATAAAGTGAAGTAAAGGGTATAAAAAGCAAAGTGAGAGAGAAGCTGCTCAAGCAGGGCCTCCTTGCAGATAGTCTATGGCTTCAGTGACATAAGGAACAAGCCATATGGGTGTTTGGAGAAAGCAGAGGTCCAAAGGAAACTGAGTTAAGGTTAGAACATCTCTGTCATGTTCAGAGAACAGCAAGTAGGTCATTGTCGGTAGAAGAAAGTGGAGGTGGAACTTGCAAGATGTAAGACCAGGGAGTTCAGATGAGGTTCTCACCCTAACGGGCCATTTTAAACATTGGCTTGAACTAGACTGTTGGGGATTCACAGAGATATTATTTGGTAGCTAATCAATAAAGTTCTTGCAGTTTATTTAGAGACATAGAAAGGGCTATCCTAAATCGAAAGCACCAAATCTAACTCAATCTTAGACTCTTTGTTTGGTTTGTCAGTGTTAAGTATACTGTTTTAATGTTAAGGAATTTAGATTGTTCAGAATCTAGTCTAAAGTTCAGAAAGAGCCAGGCATGGTGGCACATGCCTGTAATCCCAGCACTCGGGGAGGCAGAGGCAGGTGGATTACTGTGAGTTCAAGGCCAGCCTGGTCTACAAAGTGAGTCCAGGACAGTCAAGACTACATAGAGAAACCCTGTCTCGAAAAGCCAAAAAAAAAAAAAAAAAAAAAAAAAAGGGAGGGGGGTGTCCAGAAAGCCTATTTAATATACTTTCACTTAGGTCTTTATATTTTAGACTGTGACTTTCATTGTAGGAAAAAAATTGAAGAGGACTCTTAAGTTTTGTTATGCTAAGGGACAGGATTTTAGTCAGTTTAATTTTTTGTTTTAAATTTTTAGAGTCAATATATATTACTTTGCTGGATTTTGTTGCTTTTTTCTTTTATGGTGTTTTTTGTCTACTTTGTGGCTTCAGATTACACATCTGATTCTAATAAGTGTATAGGAAATAGTACAATGTATCCTTATAACATTAGGTTTGTGTTGTAGTGAGAAAATTATTTGATGTATTTTATTTGTTAGGTTGGGTTATTTATTTGTTTTGTTGTCTGTTTTCCACCCACCCACCCCCTCTTGGTTTCCCTGAATAGCCTTGACTATCATGGAACTGGTTGTATAGACCAGGCTTGCTCCAAACTCCACTTGCCCAGAGTGCTAGGATTGAAGTCATGCAATCTCTCTACCTCTTACTCCAGATGGTTTCCCCCTTTCTTTTCTCCTTCCTTCCTTCCTTCCTTCCTTCCTTCCTTCCTTCCTTCCTTCC